AAAATCGCTCCCTTCCATTGGTTTCCGTCGGTATGGGGAGCTCGTGTTGCTCGACTCTCATCGACAAGCTCACTGCTCACAAGACCGTCTAGCTAGCTTGGGCGCCCGCCAAGCTCCAACCAACGTCGACGGTGTGCTGCCCGGTCTCGGCTTCACTGGAGAATGAGAATGGCGGGAAGAAGCCCGCTGGCCCGCCATCATCCATGTCGCTGATGGAAATGAATACATACAGGCTGGGCTGGGTACTATCCACCCCAATGGAACGAGACTTGATCGCACATGACAGCGCGACAGAAGTCAAAAGCACGCGATGCCCCATTGGCCTCTTCTCTAGCACGATCTTGGCAGACCAGGAAACAGGTCTTCCCCAAGAGCCTGAAGGATCACAGATGTCGGCAAGAATTCCCCTAGTTTGGCAAAGAGCCGTAGCTTGATTAGCTCGCCTCCACTGCCGGGCCCCTCCCAAGACTTTCCAAGACCTCGACTGAAATGGAGTCGTAAAGTAATCGGAGCGCTCTCGTCAAACTCCACGACTCCCTCTCCGTGCGGGGAAAATTGCCTAGAAACAGGATTGCGGGGGATGAAGAGAGAAAGAGGGGCGCGGCATAGGGTGTTCGTGAGAAGGCTGGTTCCCTGTCTCTAGCCAACTATCTCGCTCAATGTCCGAACTTTTTCTGTTTCTTATGCTTATTTCGTCAGGGGGCCTCCACGAATGTCGGTGGTTGAGTGGAGAGACTTGTGAGGGGAAGAGGGGGTCGCGATGATGACAAAAGGATAATGGCGGCACTGAGGAGAGAGATGATATCGAGGGAAAAGTCCATCGAAAATTGTTCATGTTCTCACCCCTGTCTTCATGTTGCCCACCATAACCTCCAACAGGTTCCCCATCCCTTTCCCCGTATCCTCCCCCGCGCCGCGATGGCCATCAGGACGAGAAGAAGCTTGTAAGAAACTTGGGGGAGGACGGCTCGAACTTAGTGCAGCACCCGTCCTGAAGGGCTCGCATACTTCGGATACAAGGAAGCTAACGGGAAGAATCGAACATTCTATGCATTCAGCTCGACCTTCTCGTCAATCTAGCGTTTCCGTTTGGTGTTCGTGAGCCGTCCAGCACTCCTTAGCCTGCAGGGAACATCCTCTCCGTGAGTAATGTAGCACAAACAAATCCCTCGGGTCACATACTGGGACGTGCAGGTAATGTGCTGCCAGCGAGGAGCAATGGTCTCATTCCAATTGGCCAATTTGCAATGTCCTTAGGGCACACTGTCCGTCGTGTTTGCGTCTGGTGCCAGCATAAGCGCAGGCGTCTCGGGCTGGGCAGAAAAAGAAGTCGAGGGCTGCGCTCGACGAGTCATTGAGGTTGCTCAAACGGCCTGGACATCGTCGACTCCAGTTGCCTCTTTCTCCACCACCTCCCATCGTCGTATTGGCTACGGGCTCCCATTGCGAGACCCCCATCCTCAATCCTGCCCACAGCCTGCCTTCCAGACTAGCCCCAGACTCGCAAGTCTGCGGGCCAATCGCTAACAGCAAACCGCTCCGGGGTTGGCTCATGAGAAGTGCCAAGAGCTCTGGGCATGCATTGGCGGGGGCAAGGCATCGGTCGTACGGACGAGGAAGTTGGATACCTTTCCCTAGTGTAAATGCGACTCGTAGTGTCGAGACGTCGGAGATACAAGCAGCAAGCAAAGTGCTCAACCTGAGCTCTCTGAGCTAGAGCCAGCCACTCACATCCCTAACTCAAAGCCCCCTGCCATTCTCTTCGTCTCGAAATGCAAGCCAGCTGCGCGGAAGACCACGACCAGCAACCTGCATACTGCATGGCTACGTAGTACGTACCGAAGCCCAAGGCAATAAGCCCTGCAAACCCTGCCCGCAGTTACGGATGAGGCACTCCCTGAGTCTATCATTCTCCCTACTCCCAGGCTCCCAGACCTCAATCTAGCCTTAGTCCATGTCGTAGGCGGCGCGGAGGCGAAGCTATAACTAGCAGACAGGGTTTCCGGTACCGAATTTCAAGTACTCCCGTTCCCCTCCCGTCGGAAGCCCGCACGGTGAAGGCTGTTTACACAAGCACTCCGGAAGAGAGGGGCGGGCCATCCAACGAAACCATTCAGATGGGAAGCCAATTTCGTCCTTCCCATTGGGGTATGCGATGTATAGAGTGTGAGTGTGAGTGTGAGTGGATCGGGGGTAGCACTCGGCGGCCACGGAGGGTCCCGGGCATGGCAGGACTGTCGTTGAATAAGAGAGGGAGACGAGACGGCCGCCTACATCCCATGTTGTCGTCGAATTTATAAGAAGCAGCGCTCAAGGTTTCATCCCACGTTGGCTTCGGATCTACCCCTCAAGCTCATCCAGGTTGTTTTGGGACACACCTTCTCTGTGTGTATTTCTCTCTCCCACTTAACCTCTCCGTCTCCTTTCAACGCCTCCCGTTTGCCGCGTTCCACCACATCTCGAGTCTTGCTCAACCTCTCTCCTCATCCCCTCTCATCCTGAGCTTGGGTTACTGGTGAATACACCTGAGTAACCCGACCATTTAAGCGAGCCACGTACGAGATTTCGTGCGCCTGCCTTTCCGACGGATCCTACCTCTCTTGATTGAGGGTTCTTTTTTTTCTACCATCAAAAGGCAAAAGGGAAGCAAACTTTTCTGCAGGATCCCACACACAAACCTCGGAAAAGCGACACACCTAGTTCCAACGCGCTCGCGCGCATACGGAAATCTCATTCGCACATCGAACACCTTTCCCGCTACCCACAACCGTCGTTCCAATACCGTAGCCATGGATCGCCACGGGAAGAAAGATCACGAGCTCGCCGAGAGCTCGGATGAGAAGCCCATCGACTCTCAGCTCGAGCAGGCGCAGATGCTTGCTGATCTACCCGATCCCGACGCCGGAAAGTCTGCAGAGGAGCGTGCCGCTATTGTACGTGTGCTCCCTCACCCGGCTTATGAGTGATGAGGTCGTGAAGCCTTCACTCACTCCACGCTTCATTAAGACGACGAAAGAAATAAGTCCACTCATGCTAACTCATCTTTCCTTTCTAGGACAAGAAGCTCATGTGGAAGGTCGACCTTTGGCTGGTCCCCTGGCTATCCCTCCTTGTAAGACATGATCTTCCCTCTCACTCACCTTCCCCTAGAATCTCAGCGCATGAGCTGCTGCGCGCGCACAATACGATTGACGATATACTAATTTCATATTTCTTCATAGTACCTCCTCTCCTTCCTCGACCGAACTAATATTGGCAATGCGCGTCTCGCCGGCATGGAGGATGACCTCAAGATGAGCGGCACCGACTACAACATGTCGCTCACCATCTTCTTCATCAGCTACGCCGTCTTCGAGCCCGCCACCAATGCACTGCTCAAGCGCCTCACACCCCGCATCTTCTTCACTGGAATCATCATCGTCTGGGGCATGATCATGACGCTCATGGGTCTGTGCACCAACTTTTCCGGTCTCCTTGCGGCCCGCTGGTTCCTCGGTATCGCTGAGGCTGGTCTCTTCCCTGGTAAGCTCGCTATTTCATCATGATCTCACAGGAACCTATGGTTGTGAGATTTCAGAGGCTAATATGAGACACTAGGTGTCAACTACTACCTCTCCTGTTGGTACAAGGGATCCGAAATCGGTGTTCGCTCTGCTGTCTTCTTCTCCGCCGCCGCTCTGGCCGGTTCCTTTGGCGGTCTCCTCGCCGCAGCCATCGCCAAGATGGACGGCATCGGCGGCAAGCCCGGCTGGGCCTGGATCTTCATCATTGAGGGTCTGGCCACCGTCTTTGTCGGAATTTTCTGCTGGTGGATGGTGTTCGACTGGCCCGAGGGCGCCCGATTCCTGACTCCCGACGAGCGTATCCGCGTCCAGCGCCGCCTCATCGCCGACAAGCAGGGCCGCACCGCCGAGGACTTTGACAAGCGCCACATCTACGCTGCCATGACGGATTGGAAGACGTACGGCTACATGGTCATCTACATGGGCTGCCTCGTACCCCTCTATGCCTTCTCCCTCTTCCTGCCTACTATTCTCCGTGGCATGGGTCACCAAGGCACCAAGGCCCAGCTGCTTTCCGTTCCGCCTTACGCCGTTGCTGCCGCTCTCACCGTCACTGTTGGTATCATTGCCGATAAGACCCGCTGGCGTGGATACTGCAACGTCGCGACTGTCACTATTGGTATTGTCGGATTCGTCATGCTCATCTCCACGACCAACCCCAAGGTCCAGTACGCCGGAACCTTCCTCGGCGCCGCTGGTATCTACCCGACCATCTCAAACACCCTCTCCTGGGTCATCAACAATACCGAGGGTTCTCTCAAGCGCGCTTTCGTTCTGGGCATGGTCGTTGGATGGGGTAACCTCAACGGTGTTGTCTCCTCCAACATTTACATCAAGGCCGAGTCCCCTCGTTACCTCACTGGCCACGGTGTTGTCTTGGGCTACCAGATTCTTTTCCTCCTTGGTGGGTCCATCTTCATGCACTTCGCGCTTAGAGTATCCAACAGTCGCCGCAGAGCCGGCAAGATGGATGCCCAGTGGGCTGGCATGACTGATGAGCAGAGGTGGGTCGCTGGAGACAAGCGACCTGACTTTATGTACACGCTCTAGGTGCTATGTAGTGCTTTGATTTGCTATTACAGCTATAGAAATTGGATCACGAGGTATGAACTCTGCGTTCAAAGATTGAGTTACAAGTGTCTCTAGAGCGCCTTTTTGTAGATTCTTTGTCTTTATGGAGTCAATGATACCATCCTTGCATTAGATACTATCGTTTCACTTCTTCATTTGCACGTGCTTTCAATGACTGTATGTATGTACAGCCTGTGTCTTAAGGTAGTCTGTTACGAAACTACATTATTGCATATTACCTTATACTATTAAACAATGAATTCGGACCCTACGCTCTTGCTTGGTACAATGAAACACGTAATTTTGTATTCTACAATCTAGAAGAAGTACGTCACGTTCCGCTTACTTTTCATACCTCTCAAAACACTAAGCCTCACTGTCCGAGCTGAACTCAACAAGTTTGGCACCTGTTGTCTCGTAATTGGGCGGTTCCCTAGTTTTCTCCGCCCATATGGCATCCGTCCGACGCTGGACCTCGTCGAACCAAGTTTTCTCAGTTTCCGCCGTACAAGCAACAAAAATTCCGTCTGGGGTCAAGCCTAGACCAAGGTGCAAGTTATCGAGTTTCCGATCAGGTCTGACTAAAAATGTCGATGTCGATCGGCTGAAAAATACATTGAGCTTGGTCTTGTCGTATGTCGTCCACAACTCACGGCCTCTGTCAACCATAAGTCTCTCAAGGACTAGATGCTCATGCTCAGAACTCTGATTCTCCGGGACAGAAAGCCGGAACTGCCATTGCCCTTGACTTGGCATGAAAAGGTCCAGAAAGTCATAGGTATGCGCGCCACAGTCGAGATAGCGTAGAGATTGTGTATCAGTCTGGGACATTGACTGGTGCAGGCCGAAGGGATCGCAGACTATCCTGAACCTGTTGGTGCCGTCAGTTTGGAATGTGTGGTACCGCGATTCCTTCATTCCTCTTCTCTGACAGCCTGATGTCAACAAAACAACACGCGGCAAAGTTGTCTATGCTCTTGGACATTTGCCTGACTCACGTTATTTGCCAGGATCATAGCAGCAAAATCGTCCCATTCTTCATCCCCGCCACCACCTCGGCCTCTTTGCACTTGTATTCCAAAAGCAGCGCCATTCTTGATGTAATTTTGGATTGTCTGGTGTGCTTTAGCCGTCGCCAGCCCCGCTCCTTTGGCAGTGTTAAATGATCTGTTTGCGTCTAAGTATTAGTGCATCCGGCCTCCTCTCTTTATTGTTCTTGTCAAGATAGATATCGAGATGGAAGCATGCTTACTCATTTGGGGTTTCCGGGTTCTGATCCAAATAGACTATAGGCGGAGATACTGTGTTTTGGAAAACCGTTTCGACGAACTTGAACAAATAGTACTTGACTCTTTGATTCTTGGCGCCGCCTCCAGATACTACAATCCGGCCACGGATGTCTTTTTGCGATGATGCAAGTTCAGCTTCAAGATTCCTGATGCCGCGTTCGGCTTCAAGCAATGGCTGAAGAAAGGCTTTCTTGAACATTTTGGTCAGATCATGGATCGGAATATTGACGTGGAAGCGCTTGGAAATTGAAGAATACTTCGCCGGCTTCGCGATAGTAAGATCAATGTCCTCGAACTGCGACTTGAATTCATTCGGCGACTCTTCCTTGAACGGATTGTTGTTCCCAAGAGCTATGAGGCGCGTACGGAATTCTCTGAGGAACTCATTACGAAGCAAATACGAGAATTCTTGGCTGCTGACTTTACCGTTGTCCGATGTGGTGTGGTTGGTGCAAAAGTCACCAACGGATGACTCCCACATGCCTCCGCCGCCAACTGTTGCTATTGTAAACAGAGAGGTTAGCACACAGATCACCAATTATTTCATCCTTAAAGCACTCTCAGTCCGCTCGCTAGGCTTACCGATGGGATCACCGACTCTGAAAAGGGCCGTTTTGCCTCCGGCTCGTCTTACGTAGTAAAGGCAGCCATTCTTTGCGCGTCAGAATATGCGGTTAAATGTGCTGGAACAGAATGAAGAGAACGTACCATGCTGTGGCCTCCGAAGTCGAGAAAAAGCACATATTGGCTGGCGTCCGTACCAAGTCTCCTGTCTGCGATGTGTTCGCTGGAAGAAATGAAATGGGCCATTGCCTCCGCTTCTGTATGTAAATGGAGATGGTCGTAGATCTGATCAAGATCGAACGATCGACTAGTAAGCAGTCTTGGGCTGCTTTCTAACTTTTCCCTAATCAGAGCCTTGTACCTTTCGTATTCTGTGACACTCCAGTGAGCAGGAGCTGAGAGGCCAAAATCTACAATCCTAAGAGGTCTTTCCATCTTGCGGCATTCTTCATCTAAGCGAAGGAAGACAGCGTCGAGGATTAACCCCAAACCTTTCTTTCCGATGGTTTCGAAATCAGAGTGTTTGTCCTTGATTCTCAGTGCTTCCACCCGCAGGGAATTCTCGTCGTTGATTGTGTTCCGGCCTGTGTCGAGAAAACCATCACCTAGAAAGAATTTTGCCGAAACCTGTGTGGCTGAAGGGCTTAGTTCATCGCCAGTGTAGACTTCTCCAGTCCCTGAAATATTGATGTACCCGTTGAAAGCGCCCTTTTCATATCGAGTACCATCTTGGGTTTGCAAACTCCTTTGGTTAAACAACTCTTCCGGCTTTGGAACAATCGCCTCACCGTCCGAGGGCAAAAAGCAAATGACCAAGCGAACAGAGGTACTCCCCCAGTCCAAGCCAACAACACTACGGTTATTAACCAATCTAGTTTTCTGAGTTAAATGACAGCGAAAGTGTTAGCTTACATGTCTGTACAGCGGCGCATCAGAGCGCCGGACATCGCATGACTCTTGAGAATTGGCCTCGAGCACATAACAGTATGAAGTCTTATCCCGAAGCAGAAGGTAAACAAAATTATAAGCTGAGTGGCGCCCGTGAAAGAACACAGAGCGACTCGAATCAACATAAGGGGTATTGGGGTTAAGTAGTAAGCACTTTGGATCCCAGGTATATTTCTTGTCTCTAATCCGTTGACCGCAACCAACCTATACACATATTGCCCAGACTCAAACTAGCAAGGGACCAAGCTTTCATGTCGCCAAAAACCCTCTCGAAGAATTTTTTGGCGGGATCCACAGAATCTTGAGCTTTCCTGCCACGCAGATGAATGCTTGGATACGTGGACCCTCGGGGTTGAATGATCCAGAGCGTTAAGTGCTGGAAGAGCCCCCACATCCAAGACAAGGCCTCTGGTATATCACCGGGCATGGATCATGCACCAGGGTACAGGAAGTACATGTGCCAAATGTCATCAATACTTAATCCCTCATGAGTCTCAGCAGCTAGTTAAGCTTGGTAAATATTGACCATGGGTAGTACCCATCAATGGGATCTTTGCCAAGAATGAACGCTTGTTTGTTTCTTGACGAAGGCCTCGCTGACATGTCCCGGAGACCTCGAGAAAGTCCGACGTGACCTCAAAAGGGAGCTTGGCTATTACGTTCAGGCCACTTACTATCATCAGGGGCAGACCAATGGTAGATCACTTACGAGTGACCAGCTGTGCCGCGGGAAGAGGAAGCCGACTGGTTCAGCTGAATCAATACGGCTGTTTCGCAATAGGTGACCTTTTCTGACTTTTGGCACCGCGCGATTTACGGCAATCTCAACAATACACATACAATCGAGACTCTTTCAGAAAAGACCGCCCTCGCAGACGAGCATTCGTCATCGAGCAATGAAACTTCAAAAGCTCCAAGTTCTCAAAACATCCATGTGTTGTCTGCTTCCTTTGCACCAGCTCACCTGTGCTGAAGCTAAAGTAAGAATGTGCCTCCCCCCCCCCCCCTCTTCTCCCAGGCCGTGTCCACAGTGCGTTTTACTTCCACCAACCTGGTCATAAAGATATCTGTCGCGACAAAAGCTTTAGAAAGCAAGCCGAACTGGGGCTTCGCTCATGGCTTGGGTATTGGCAGGCGGTGCTGCATTCTTATTTGTCCGAATTCGGCATCTGGCTGTAGATTTGCTTTTTCGGCTGACCCATTCATATGCCGGTCAAGCTGCTCAACGTTGAAGCTATATGGTACTGCCTTTAGGGATGATGCGGAAATTATTTGTGCGTTCGCAAGCCGACCCTTGTGGCCACAGATTCTCGCTCCAATGCCCACAAGCTAAATACAAGGATAGGCTAACACTTGGGGACGTACTCAGGCAGCAGCAAAGTCCGCACGTCAAAGTGTAGTGGATAAAACGAGAAGGTATCGATGAAAACTGGGTGCATTCTTTTAATGTAGCCTTAGCCCTGAACCACGTTTCGTATCAAAGCCAGGAGCTTATATCTGTTTATTCATACAAGTGTGCGTTATGATGAAATCATAGGACTGTCAGAAGTAGGTATTAATACATGTAAATCTCTCGATTGGTACTTCTGTGGCTACGAAGCTATCAATAAAGAGCTTTCGCCTCGCTATGCAACCTTTCTACGCGATACCTACCTCACAAATGGAAGCACGGATGCTACCTGGTCTCGATGATCTGCCCCCTGGAGAAAGAGGAATTGAGAGAATGAGCCATATGCAAGGTTCTCTCAAATTCCCAACTTTCAATAGTTCTGATTAAATCGGCCGATCTTACCCTATTTGAGCACTTGATCTACCGCAATCTTGGGTAAATTGAAAGCACATATATCCCAAGTATACATGTCAAAAGCTCATGTTAATATCCTTCCCTGGCCACGTTATTCTTGACAAATTCCTTGTTGTCCAAATTTCGCGCTATCTCGCATGGGGATTTGCATGTTGATCTAGACGTAGGCCCAACCTAGAACTCTTTCCATTCAGAGGCAGAGTACTTACATGGTCGCATTGGACGAAAAAAAAAAAAGAAAAGAAAGGGGGGGGGTTTGGTTCAGGAGTTCACGAACCCTTAGTGCAACTTCAACTTAGGCATGTGATAGGAAAATCCCGTGCCAGGGTTAGCGGAGATGCGATTTTTGCGTGACCAATCTAAGGAGTAATTCAGGTGCGAGCGATGGCCTCACTTCATAGTTTGTGCACTGCCCGTGTATTACTCCGTACAATCCGAGTCAATTCGCGGGCCCGAAGATAAGTTTGAAGACTGACGATTTTGTTTCACATCTAAATCAAAGAATGTGTCCGGATATGTCCCGACCTATCACTGACCCTATTTCCTACATGCATGTGTACCAGGTACTGTACTTCAGTATATAACGAATGTAAAGTGCGTCGGCCCAACAGCAACGATCTGCCATGTTACATTTGAGAGTTCATGTCGATGATAATAGTGTTCTGCTTCTAGCTTCGCGTGGGGTAAATTAAGGGTGACAAAAAAAAGCGGACAGATATGGTGAGTTAAAAGAATGCCATGTCTTGAGCTTATGTGCGTATACACGCCACGAAATCACTCCAGGCATCCTGTTTTCAGCAACATGCATGCCGACTAAAATATTTACTGCATTCGGAGCCTCAAAGTAAGCCTAGTTTCACATGGGCGTAGTGAATGGGGCGTACATTATCTCTTCTCCAATGACTTCTTGTCCGAAGATCGAATTGACAAGAACATAAAACAGCGCATTTGCGATGTTCATCCTTCAGCGGACGCACCAGAAATCCCTTGATACATATATGGCGCTATCTAACTTAGCTGGGTGACGTAAGGAGCGCTCTCGAGGTTATCCTACAATGTACGCATAATTCAAGATATATAATATGTCAACGGGACATACAAGTGGTTTGAAGTCACTACTACCGTCTACCTCATGCATTCTGCTTTCATCCCCTTATTATTTTGTCAACATAGTTGTATGCAGTGTAAAAGGTAAGTCTCATTCATCCCTACTTTGTTTCAATACGTTTTATGTGGATCTGGAACTCGGCATGATAGCATGGATACGATAGGGCTTCCCGTTTTGGGGCAAGCCGGGCACACCGGGTAAGATGCAATAAACTTCCGCTGATTTGAAATGGCTAGAACCTGTTACGGCTTCGACGATCCTCAGGGAAGCCACGGCATTTACGTTCACATTAAGCTCCTTGTCGAATGGAAACGAACCCCATTGGCGCAAAGGCTGTATTAACAAGTGGGTCACATACAGTTCGTCAAATTACAGAGTACGTAAGTAGAGAGAAGAAGGAGAAAGGAAACTACCTGTAAAGGGGAAGTATCGATGTTTGTGCATATCGCGATGTCCAGGTAATACCCTGCCTACATGGGCCACGCTCAGCCCGAAAATTTGGTGTCCAATTCTCAAAATTGGTCAAGTATCCATCACTAACTTGGAGTTGCCCGGAAGGCGGGAGAGATCAAAAACAAAAGCAACGCAATTTCATTCCAAGGTTCTGTGACTGATTGCTAATGATCAATCGTGTCATGAGGCACGCATTCATCCATAGTTCATTACAGTCCAAGCCATTAAAGCCAGCCATCAGGACACCCTCAGTCAGAGTCTGTGTCCAAGTCTTCCATGGAGTCTGAACTCGCCCCGTTGTCCGCTTTCCGAGAACATTTTGTCAACCGGTGATTGCCTGCTTTTATGTTCTTGTTGTGCTTTGCTACCCACCGAGCGCTGATAGGCTGGTCTCGAGCTTTGAGTCTGTGCGGCACAACTTTGAGAGAAATAAACAGGTCAGCCACTCACTCACTGTATAATGAAGAGAAATAGGACAGACATTGGCTCACCTTGCATCCCATGTCTCCTGATAATGGTAGTTTCTTCGACAGCCGAGATCTCACACTGCTTGAAGTGTGCTATCGCATCTCCGCTAGCGATCGGATCTCGAGAGAAGTTGCGACTCTGGCAATCCTGCTTTGGACAAAGCAGAATCCAATGTGCCTTTGAACCATCGAGCGTATAGGAGAAGACAAAACTGTCCAAGTAAGCTCTTTCTACCGCGTTCACGGTCACAAATCGAGGACCCTCAACCCTTTTCCGCCGAATGACAGTGCGATTCGAATGAGGCGGCCGGCGCATGGAAATGAGGTCCCGTGGCATCGTGAAAGGACTCGGCTTCGTCCCTGCGTATTGGAAGGCAGAGCAGGACATTCCAGCGATGTTGTCGTAGAAGAAGTTGTTGATGTGACACGGGAATTGTGCTTTAATCCTGGCAACAACTTCTGGTCTCTCTTCCGGCCGGTACTTGGGAGGAAGACCCGCAAGAAGGCTCTGCTGACAATGGCTCCTAAAAATCTCATATGACTCTAGAACACGTTTAACCTCAGTAGTGATCTGCTGGTGGAGGTCATCTTCAAGCTGTTTAATGTATAGACGAATTGCTGTTGCCGATTCCTCGGAGAGACTGCTTGTCGAATCTTCTGAAAGGCTCATAGTGCACTTCTTCTGAGCTGGTGACTGCGGATAAGAAGGGGCAAAGCTGATGCGCTGCAGGGCGGAAGGGGTGACCTTTTTCAATCCATTGCTGAATCTGAAGGAACACGGCCAGCTTGAGACAAAGTTCCTGATTCCTTTACATCCATACCATGAAATCAAAGGTATCCACCTAAATGCACACTATGTCAGAAGCGATATACTTTAGTACGGTCCCTCTTTCACTCATACTCGAATAGCTTCCTCGAGCTTGATTGTCTAGCGCCCGCACCGCAGCAGTGATTGTGCCAAGAATGGGCACAGCCTATTGCAGATCTTCTATCATTGCTCACCGATAGACAATCCTTGAGGCTTCATATGTAGGGAAAAGGGGGCGGGCGGTGACAGCGCAAGCTTTCCCTGCTTAGTTCATGATTGTGTTGCAAAATCCGGTAGGTTGATGTCTACACCACCCCCATTGTAGTTATTGCCTACATGGATCCACATCATGGATCATC